CCAAGGATCATTAATGTGCAGTCCGGATGATCGTGAAGTATTTCCCACAAGATGCGTTTCATATTATCATCGGTCACATTTTCTTTCAAATTACGGTCACGAGGGAGGGATACAATACAGTAATTTGCCTGTGCCCTGAGGGTCATGACGTGGTAAGCAGCGGTCCAAACAAACAAGGCCAATTTGAGGAAACCCCCTCCATTCCTGTATGATTCCTAGAGGCGAACTTTGTCTGTTTCTCAAATTTTTTAATATGTCGCAGTCATGTTTATAGTCTTTCAAGTTACAGTCTGGAGCAGAATAGTAAATCTGCTTTCTGAGTGTTTTTTTTATTTGCACGTGTACTGTTAAGTTGTGAATGTGCACATGTAATCGATCTCGGTGATACTTTCTCCTGCTTTGTGACATTTGAACTTCAAATTGTGTTACTTTAAGATCTGTTATATTTACATTTAAATTTGAAAGACACAATTATCCTATTTGATATTTGAACTTACTATGTGGCGTGATATTTTCTTTGAGGCATTTCATTTTACTATGAGGAATGTAATAAATTTCTTACGTGTACATTTGATCTGAAAATCAGAACAATAAATTTATAAGCATAATATATATATATATTTATTTATTTATTTATTCATTTATACATATATATCTCCACCCACAATAATATATAAAACCCATAAATAATCAAAATACATACTTGTAACAAATTATTCATAATAAATAGCATTTGTATAGCGCAAATTCCCTTTCAATAGCACACTCCATGTGCTTTACAACTGTTATTGCCCCAACAGACACCAAAACACTAAAACATAATAGGCTACGTGGGAAGCATGCAGCATCTACCCTGTGTGCAGCTGTGCCCCCCCCCCCACCCTTTGTTTTCACTTGCACACACTCACCCCCTCCTCTCCCAAACCCCGCCCACTTTCTTAAAGTTCCTTTAGGACCCGCTTTAATAGTTTCTAGGCTTTTGCTGCTTAAAAACACAAACTGTAATTGATAAAGCCCAGTATCTTCAGCTCTGTTTAGCTGATAAAGACTGAGAGGGGAGGGGGTGGGTTCTTACGCTAATAACTATAAGTGCAGCAAATTCAATTGTGGCCACTCTAGCATTCTAAAAAATGAATACTAAAGCCATGTGAGCGAGTTGTAATCGTATGATTTAATATCCATTCCCTGCACACTTGCTTGCACACCTGACGGTCACTGATTACAGTTTTTAACTCTAAGCATCCCAAACTCCCTCGTAACTTTTACTTTTCTCTTATTTAATCTATTCGCATAAATGAACACCTTTCTTGCTGAAGAAATTAATTATCCTTGCGATACACACTGAGCTTTAGTATACTCAAGATGAATTTGCTTGGGTTTTGTAGAGTTCTAATAGACGACTGTAAACTACACAGCAAGAAGTTGTTAAGTTTTGCGTTTCCCTCAATCTCGGTAGAAATTTTTAAAACTTGATATTTTCCCTAACTTTAGTTATATTTCGTTCATATTGACAAATGCAACGTCCCCCTGGTTGAATATTATTTCCTCGAAGATTTGCTGAAATTAAATTTTTTTTTTCCAAAATGACCGAGTTATTGGCCTTTAAATGAAAACTCCCCCCCCCCCCCCCACCCCCACCCTGTTCTTTCGCTATGCGAATATAATTTATTGTTTTACGTGAAACAAATAAACCAAACCTTTTAGGATATAATGTATAACAGTGCTAACATTTTTGTCAGTAGTCAGATGGCTTGTGTTCCATTGTCTTACTTCAACAATATTAAACGTGCAAGGCAAAAAAAAACTCGAGAAAAATTAATTTTTTAAATTTGACTTCCTTATACACGATCCTCTAAATCCTGCCAGAACAAAATACTTTTCTATTTTCAAAAGGTAATACGTATACTACTATTAATTTTATGGAAGCTTTTTCAGGGGTGGAAGTCTCTCCTTTTGCTACATAGCCTGCTTAATAATGAATTGAGCATCGGTCTTTTTAATGGTGCTTCAATTTGGAACACCGTTTAATGCTTGCCAGGGTGACTTACGATATCATATCGGAACCCAGGGACAGGTTTTTAAACGTCCACAAAGTTTGTTAATGTAACAGCATGGCTCCTTCTAACTGGGGATGGACAAGAAACAGGTAAACAGAGCGGCGATTTTGATGACAGATACATGTACAGAGAAGACGGAAACAGGTAACGAAACCACCGTAAAGTGATTATGGTCTGAGAAATCCAATTACGTATTTCATAAAAAGGAATAGGTTCCGCGGTCTAAAAAGAGAAAAGGTGACCCACCACTGCGGGTGACTAATTACTGTTTTTTTGTTTTACTTGTTAGGGAGAACGGAATGCTGTGCTTGCAAGCACAAAGAAAATAAGACAAAGAGCCAGGGAGATGTGAAACGTTAAATAAAGAATATTCTTTTATGTTCACTTCACAGCTCTACCTTCCTGCCCGGTGTCCCATCGGAGGTACCAAACTCTCCACATTAAAAATGACAATGTATTTAGCATGACGAAAAGGGAACAGATGTTAGTCGGGTTTGTTTTGGGTTTTTTTTGGGGGGGAGTATTGGGAGTTTTCTTTTCTGCTTTTGGTTTTGCTTTTGTTTTTTAATTTTGTTTGCTTTTTGTGTGTGTGTGTGTGTGTGTGTGTGTGTGTTGTTTTTTTGTGGGGGTTTTTTTTTGGGGGGGGGAGGGGGGGGGGGTAAGACAATAATATGGTGAATTTAGCGTGGCTTCCTTTCAAGGGTTTAAGTGTGTCAGTGTTTCGCAAAAGCCTCGTACAATAGACAATTTTTATTTGAGATATTCAGGAGCGTTTTGTTTTCAAAGAATCCACCGTGAGATTTTAGGCCGCATTCTAAGCATTTACGGCCAAAGCAACTTTTAATAACAATAACATGACGCACGACGACGTAAGACGAGCATTTAGAAGAAATAATGAAACGACGTGTAACGTGCTTGATCACAGTAAAACCGAAATTGACTGGAGGGATGTCTGTGAGCTACAGATGGAAAAATCAGATAATGTATTACTTCTAGCTGCTTGACCTCAGAGGATTACCCAAAGCAGCTTTTAAAATAGAGATATGCGAGCACTGAGTACAAATCTTAATTCTTATTTTTTTCAGTGTCGAGAAGTCGCAGCAGTTGGTTTTTTCCCCCCAAAGTTTTTTCTTCAATTTGAAAAGAAGGGGGGGGGGGTAGGGTGCGGAATCCTTTTTAAAAATTGTTTTATTTGCATGTTGGTTGTTTTGGGGGGATTTTTAAGGGGGGGGGTGTCCGTTTGCTTGTTTGTTTGTTTGTTTCTATCTTTTTTTCTGTCTGTTTTTCTTTCTTTCTTTCTTTCTTTTTTTCTTTCTTTTTGTTTGTTTATTTGTTTGCTTGTTTGCTTTTGTTGCTTTTTCTGAAGGTATTCATTTGTCAGGGAAATAGCTGAAATAGAGAAGTATCTGCCCGCTATACTGATGAGTCTGAAGTTGTGAATTGGAACGACTCATTTAGTCAGAGACGTAAGTGGGAGTTAGTCAAATGTGCTTTATGTTTGGAGGCCAAGGCTGTCAGCAAACCTTTAAACTCTCATTCGTGCTCAAGAGATGTACACTGTTAATGAGGTAGCAGAGCGAGAAAAGGGGAGGCTTCTCGTTCTGTTGTGATAAATAAATCATTCATTTTTAGCTTACAAAAGGTCAAGGCAATTTCAACAACACCCGCCTTTCCCAGTAATGAGCATAATGATACAATGTACATCACGTTCAGGAGAGAAACAAAGCCACACTGGAAAGAGGTGAAAGTCTGAATATCTAGCAATATAATTAGTAGATCTATGTATACTTGACTTCACCAAAAGCATGTCTTTTGTCACCAACTTTTGCCGCAGCCACACAAAAAAATAAAATCATTTAACAGACGCTGTTTGGAATTTGGAAGAGTTTAGACGTAGAACCAGATAAAGGCCACGCCACCTAAAAAGGGGGATCTTGAATCATTACTGGAGGCTGAACTTGTCTCCGATTTGCTTTTCATTTAAAACGAAAACAAAGACATCAACATCGTCTTTTGTTCATTCACTTCTTCTTTAATCAAAACAAAAACTCAAATATATTTGGTCAGGAAACCATAGAAATCCTGATTTCTGAAAGGAAACAGATTGGATACGTTGATTAATTCAACTCTCAATTCATGGTGTTGAATAGACTAGAGCTGATTGTCATTGGGTAGCTGCTTTAAGAAAATATCGTAAACCACACTTGGCTGTAATGTGGAAGCCCGTGTGGGATGAGAAAGAAAGGATTTTTGGGGGGTTTAAATCTCTTTTTTTTTTCTTGGGGAGGATTTCTTTCGGCTTTCGCGTTTCAGTTAGGGGCTCTCGTTTGGAAATGATAGACTATGTGTACAGTTTCACTTTTTTCCTCCATCTTACATCCAGAAAAATTATTTTTCCTATCCTGTCTTTCTGTCTAGCAAGAGTAACATTTTCTGTAAAGGCTGCGTTAAAAAAATAGTAATGAATAAAACAAAAGAAAACAAAGTAAAATAAAATAAAATGCGTTAAAGAAAGTTGTAATCAATAGAAAAAAAGAGAATAATGCTATTATTCAAATCTTGCATAAAGGCCGTATTAAAGAAAGTAGTAAATTATTTATTATTATCCATCAAGTTGTAACGTTCCTCCTTCTGTAAGGCGTTGACGATGTACACACTGAGTGAAAAAAAACGACGAAGGCTTAGTAAAAATAATCGTGTAATAATAACTGATAACAAGTGTAGTTTAGATATGATGCAGTGTTTGGTAGACGCTATACAGTAACTGGACGATTCATCTTATTATATTATATCAAAGATAGAGAACTGAACTCTCAATTAGAGTAATAAAAAATAGTACAATAATTTCTAAATCTTTTTAAATGTCATTCTCTTTTCAATTAATACCATACCACAATGTTACCATAAAAAGAACAAAATCGTTGCATAAAGAAATAAGCAAACCTTTAATTCTGAGATGGGAGGTAGCTGGTTAAGAATCTTTGCTTTCCAATCATGCAGGCTTCCTCCTATTTGATGGTGCGGACTGGTCTAACAAATTTCTGCTTCTGCGAGAGGCCTTCTTGCTTCGGGATAGGACTCGTGACACGTTTTGGAAAGACCTATGTTAGAAAATTGTTGTGTTAGCTTGTTCTGTCTTTCTTGTTTGTGGTCACTACTGAAATCAACACCTCTGTACTTTGTCACGAAGTCACTCAGTGCCACTATGTGCCTCCCCGCGGCCCGACAAGAAGCGTCTTGGACAAGCGATGCGTTCTTCCGTCGACAACCTACTACATTTAAGTGAGAGATGGTGCCAGGGGGCGGCAATTTATCGGCCGCTCCTCTGCATTGAGTATCGGGGCTTCCAAATATCGACTGAGGACAGCCAATTGCGCGATGATTACATGTGGTGCGAATACGCGTTGACAGAGAGGAAAACATCGAGAGGTGGGAGTGGAGGAACTAAGTCTGTTTGATTTTGAGTAGGTGGGATAGGGAGTAGTTAACTTTGACCACAAAGCCAGGCGAACCTATGAGGAGTATTTTATTTGTTCATGTGCGCGAGGGTGAAATAAAAGATAAGAAGTAAAACGTTTGTCACGGTGGCAACAGCAATGGTCAGAGCTTTTTATTTGTTCATTTGTAATTGGTTGAAGAGTTGGGTTGGGTTTTTTTTAAAGGAAAGTTCCGGGGGGAAAAAGCAAGAAAAGATGCATGAAGTAGGTAGAATTGTTAAAAGAATGAAGCAGTTTCTTCTTTCTTCAGAAAAAGTTTGCTTTCTGTGCAACAATTCGACCGTACACTTTTCATTGACAGTGGTCCGCCATAAGCTTCATTAAGTCTACTTTGTGTGGAGACAATTCCTGTATCTATACTTCTGACTTCAAATCAAAGAAAAAAAATTGCTGGTACAAAAGTAAGTACCACAGAAAAACAATAGCATAGCTCCACACAAGCCACAAGCCTTCACACATAAAAACAGGAACAAAACACACACATTTGCCTGTGCATGTGCACAAGATGCAGAAAAAAATTGTATGCGAAAATTTACTTTTAGCTAAAAAAAACACATAAACGACATTATTTTTCTAAAAGAAAACAAATTTCATAAGTGTACCAATCTATTAAAAAAAATGAAAGATGGATTTTCCACACAAAAAAAGATATTTTAAATTGAATATCTCAAAATCACTTTTTTTTAAAAGACTCGGAACAAAAGAAAAAGGAAGCATCGCAATGACTTGGGGAAAATTTTTTACCTGAATAAAACAAGCCAGCATCTGCAAGCCGCTCAGGAGACACTGTAGTAGATAAGGGCCATCTCTCGTAAGTCCTTAACCGTTCGTAGACTTCTGAATACTCAGGGTGCATACAATCATCACTCTTCATATGAACCCTTCAAACAGAAACAAGAGGATTCCCCATTAAAAACTAAAAGGCTTGAAAATAAAATATTTTAAAAAAAAGAAAGCTCTGATCTTCAAACAATAATAGTGCATAGCTACCAACTTTTCAACCCCCCCCAAAAAGCAGATTCTACATACACAAGATGGTCAAGATGGTAGGCACTGGACAAGACCTT